ACTGACAGCATGGAGGCAAACAGCCACTCTGGGCCCCATGGAAAGGCTTCTGCCAACATCCAAGTGCCAGCACAGAAGCTCTGTCCTCACCAAGGCCTCCCACAGTACTGGGGCCACGCCTTTGCCCCCCATAGCTCCCTTCCCTGGTGCCAAGCACCAGTGGAGACCAAGTGGGAGGCGCTCAGCCCAGGGTCTGGCACACAGGGGCATGTTGTCAGAGTTGGCTTCTGAAGAAAGCTTGGCACCTCTTCCAACCCCACTCACGCCAGGCGCTAGTTCTCTCTGGGTTTGGGTCACAGGCTCGATCTCAGCTGCCTCCAGACTCTGAAGCTCCAGCCGTTCCAAGATTCGAGCTGCCTGGAGTTCCACCTCAAACAGGTGGGCTGAGGTGACCCGGAGGAAGCGCTCCCTGCCCCGCACACCCTCAGGCCCCTGCAGGGGGCACACCAACATGGGGCGGCACAGCTCCGCTGTGGAGAGACCCAGAGAGGAGCCCTGTAGGAGGGACAGGTGCCCAGAAACCCTGCCCCTCTGTGGGTGGGCCTCCATCCAAAAGAAATGGGCCCCCACTGCCGAGTCTGGGCTCTTCTAACCTTCCCAAGACACATCAACATCTCTCGGCCCCCATCTCCCCTCACGGCTCCTCCACAGTTGGAAAGCAAGCCACAGAGCGCCCACCTTCCACTTCATCCTGCTCCTCTTCCTCCTCCTGGTCCTCCTTTCCTTCCTCTTCTTCTGGTTCCTCCATCTCCTCTTCCTCCTGGGGCTCTGGCCCCACCCTGATCTCCTCTGATGCCTCCTGCGCTGACTCCTCAGGGCTGTCAGCTTCTTCTGGTGGCAGAGGCTCTGGGCCCAGGGCATCCGGGGGCAGACTGCTGAGGTCAGAGGTCTTGGAGGTAGCCAGATGGGGGTTCTCAGAAGTTTCCAAGTGATTCCTATACTGCAGCCAGTCACAGCCAAACCGTTCCCGGAAGCTGTTCATGAGCTCAAGGTCCCGGTGCTGCTTTACAAACCAGCCTGGGCAGGTGGGGGAGTCCACAGCTTAACAAGCCTGCACCACACACCCCTCAGACAAACCCAGCCTTTATGGGTGCTATGGGTGTGTGTTTGGGGGGGGTTAGAGGAAGGCTAAAGCCTCCCCCAGTGGCATGTCCCATAGCATGTTCTATGAAACATTGCGGTCACATGCAATTCAGAACCGCACATCATGGGCTACTTGTGGAGATTCGCAATGCACGGTAACATAATTGAGGTCCTGAAAAGTCCCAGAGAAAACAAATCTGTTTAATCTTGTTTCACCCCACATTTCCCAAACTTATCTGGCCACAAAAACCCTTTTATTATGTAACTTTTTGACACTCCACAAAATTAAAGTTCCTTGAAATACACT